GCCCGGCTGAGCTTGGGGCGCAGCTTTCTGCTGCTTGGCGTTCCTACGTTTCTTCATCAGGCCGGGGTGAGCACAGCAGAAGGGGCTTCTGCTTGACAGTGGAATGGAGCGTGTATGGACGGACTGGTGAGGTTTAGACTAAGTTTAGAAACCTGCATGCTCCCAGCTTGCGCTGCCTGCAGGTCTTTCATATATGTACGGCACGTTCAAGGAGAAGGAGAGGGAGAGGAGCTCGTCAGAGATCGATAGCAGCCCGTCTGCGGATTTTTGTGGAGGATCCCCGAAGTCAGTAAGCGAAGATCAACTTTTGCAACCATAAACAAGTCGGGGCTTTCCTCAGTACCCGAATAATATGATAGTATGGGAACAGCAATTACAAATGTGGGGGCAGAAGAAGCAACGGCGGCATTACTCACAACAGCAACGAGAAGCCCAGTCCTGACCTCTGCCAAGGACAGCGCCGAAAGGAAGTGGGTGATGATGACGAGTTCCCATGGCTCATGGTCATCCTCTTTCTACTCACGCTGGGTGCCATCGCTGACAATGGTTAAAACTAGAGTTTATGATGGCGTTGGTTGATGGGCAAGACGTTGATGCCACTCTACTACAGTTGTCCTTGTCTATGCTTCCTAAGGTTGCAGGTAAACAGAGACATTCAGTAATTTGCACATGCACAACAGTATTTTCTGACCCTGCAAGTAGAGTTGCACAGGAGGATACAGGAGGGAAAACGGTAGGAGAACAACTCTCTTCTCGTCCGGGTGCCTAGACAGAGGTTTATTAGAACCAAGGCCTGTGCAACAGCTATCTTCAGGCCAGAAATAGCTCATACATCACCTTATGCAATCCCAGGTGTTCAATTGAAAGATGCAATTCAACCCGAGCTGTGGAGTTAGGACTGCGCAACAGGGCAAGAGCTTGCTTTCCAAGCTTCTGATCCAGAGATCCGGAACAAGTCCCCGAATTCTGTTCCAGATCCCCCCATTCCAGACCAACGAATGCAATAACTCAAAATTGACGTTATGCTGGGTGTCTGTTCCATGCCCGTTCCATACTCGTTCCAAACCAAACAATGTATTTAGCACATACTCAACCCGTATCACTTGTGGGAACCAGCAAGAGTCAGTCATTGTTCCAGAACCTCTGGATCAAGTGTGCCATCCAGACCCTCCGGATCAGACAGCATTGGAACGTGCACGCGGGGCATGTGGTTTTGATCAGTAGCCATTTTTTCTCTTGGGTACATGTACATGCACTGTAATGCTGAAAGATACCCATATGACCTGGAAGCTCACAAGCCTAAGGCAGGTAAAGACTGAAAGGAAGAACGCCTGCCTGCCATCCTCCGCAGGTGCCTATGCCTTCGTGATGTATGGTTGCTGGGACACCTCCCGGCGGATAGAGATTCTCGCCACCAGGTGCAGAGGATTTTTAATTTCAGAAACTACAGGGCACTGGAAACACAAGCAGGTCTGGATCTCTGCCACCTTCTCATTAATTAAGAATGCTTCAAGCCCCGCATTGAAGCTGGTCATCTCGGAGTAGGCTCATGATCAAAGCGCAATCATGCTTGCCTGTGCCGGGCTCTCCTGAGTAACGTAGGCTGTCACACTTTGGTCTGCTATGAGGGTCGCTGCAGTTGAGATCCTACTCCTGTGGAGGTGCACAGTATGAGTTTGCTGACTTGACTTCCTCACTCATCACGCTTCAAAGACGCCCCTGAAAGCCCGAACCTTCGGTACTTTCGGGCAGGTCCGAGAACGTGCTGATGCTCACTGCCACCGTCAGCAAAGCAATGGGAGGTGGACCATGGGCATGTGAATGAATTCAAAACCACCCTCCTTGCCCACATCCATGCAAAATCTGCCATCACTTAGGGGTGAGCTTGAAAGGCAGCTCTTACAAAAGTTGAGCCTTGTGCAGAGGAAGTTTCACAGGGACAGTAACTACAGATTCTAGAAGATACCATGCGCTGCACGATTCAACGACTGGTGCGTCGTGGGCTGGATCTACTGTTTGGACTGCTTTGTGAGACTTGTGCAGGTCTCTTCTCATTCAGGCGGGGACATCTAAAACTTAACCTCCTTCGAATTGAGGTCCACAGGTTCAACTGCGCAAAATATGGACTTGCATTCAGATCCTTCACTTCCTACACGGTAGCCAGCCCTGCTGTGCACATGTCCTTGAGACTCCAGAACCTGTCTTCATTAAGGGCCTCACCCTAGCCAGACATCTTTCCACCGGCAGACGCAGGAGTTGTGACTACCACTGCTCAGCGTGGGGAGCAGGCGCAGAAGTTTGAGTCAGCGGCAACATGCCTGACACCAATAAAGTCCGGACCTTCGCACGGAGGGATCTTGAAAATGTCAAGAAGATTCTTGAGCATTTGATTCTGGGATTGCATTGGTCTGCGGAGCACATGTAGAACAAGCAAGTTCAAAGAGGACCCTTTCTGTCATCAAGTTGATCAAGCTCTGCTTGCTCTAGGGGGCATGCAAGCCTCAGCGTTCAGGATTTAGTTGAAGGCCGTTTTGGTATGGCAGCTTCTGAACGACAGTTGGCAGTACTCATGTAGGGATGGTCTTTTGGGTCCCCTCAAGCCATATCGAGCTTCAGCTGGTTTTAGTAGGGTGCAGGGCTGCAGGACGTCGTGAAACATGTTTTGTTCCGGGTGGTTCATCCTACGGGGCAGAGCGGCAACGTCTGTTTTACCTCGCTGCAGATCTCCTCCCTCTCAATCAACTACATGACTAATTACTGCTCCTTCCGCCCGTTTTGCTCTTCCTCTTGCTCCACCACCTCCAATATATAATCATTATAACTGACGAAAGTCGCAAAAGACTCGGCCCCAACAGCCTCACCAACACGTGGTGAGGGCCCGAAGTCGCCTAGTAAGCAAGCGAGCTCAAAGTCAATCTTCTGTATACACTCCCCTCGTGCTGGTGAGTCCGTGAGTAGACAGCATTGAGACGCCTCCACGCACCCTACTTTCAACACAATCAGCCCGGTTTGTTTCAGAAACCGTTGCAGGCCATCCACGCAGGCTTGAATCAGCTCCTCAACGAATCAGATAATGCCTTGGTGGAGGCAGGCATGATTGCTCTGAAGGCTGAACTTGAAGGTCCGGGCTTCTGGAGCTTCTGGGGCTTGATGCACTTGGCATAATGCATGTGGTGCCCAAATTTATTTGTGCATCACACTTCCTCACAATGCGTGAAGCGAGCACTTACACAGCAGATGATGAAGGACATCTCGGGTACATATGGTCATTACCATAACAGCCATTTGGATGTTTCCATAGATCAGGGATCCCTGTTTCGGTGCTCCTACAAGAAGCAAGTCTAGAACGTGTGAGTGCTTTCTACAGCATCGAATCCTACATCCTTAAAGGTCTGTCTAGTCCTCACTAAACTTGTGTACACCCCTACATGGGGGTTTCCCTAAATTAGGTGTATCTTTTTGGGGATCCTTATGATGAGGACTATGGCCTATTGGGGTCTACATTGGGATCCCCCTATTTTGGGAAACCCCTGCATAACCCCAATGTAATCCTTCTCCTGGTAGGCGCAGAGGCTTCAAGGGACACTGGACGGCGTCTCTGGTGCTCTCAACGCCTCGATGCAGGAAAAGCTGAGCCAGAAAATATTGGGATAATGGAAAAGAAAATGGAAACTACTATTGGGACAACGGAGAATCAGATGGGAAAATAAAATGGAAACTCTAGGTTAAAAAAGTAAAGCTGTGGCAGAGGGAGTGTATGTACAATGGTTGAATTAGACTGTATAGGAGATCAGAGTTTTGAGCATTAATGCAGGGTTTTCCCGGCATGAGGGGATTTCACCACCACAGCTCGTGTAAGAAGTGTTCCAACTCTCCACAAAGGTTGTAATTGTAAAGTTCTTCTTTTCGGGGATAGCTATTTTCTCATATTGTCTCCGGCATTCCAAATGCAACCGCTCAGACTAGTGGGAAAGTTCTGTGAGTTGCGATCCGAAGGAGCAGTATTCGAAGCCGCTTGTCTTCACATCCACCGCCGGTCACATCTGCAAGATTCATACCACTTCACAGATTCCCTAGTTGGTCATGCATCACTAGCGCTGCAATGTCCCCTGTCTTCGATACCTTGTCACAGAAAATGAGCAGTATATGGCGCAGGATCTGACAAATGCAGGCGAAGATGATGTTTGCCGTCTACAGTAGAGAAACGCCAGGTACAAAAAGCAACATATATTTTTCATAATGTAATTACTATTATATACTACTATAGTATATTAGAATATAGCATAGTATATATTATATTTTACTAATATATTATCATATACTATAGTATATTAGAATATAGTATAGTATTCTATACCATAATATAGTGCCGAGGCTGGTCATGCTGCTCTACGGGGAATCAGAACGATTGTCGCTGGCTCTGCAAGGCCTGGCTTGTCTATGCTGAGCGCATGTGAGCCATAGTCTAAACTCCTTAAAGGGGGTTTTATAGGGGATTATATAGGGGACTACTATAGGGGTTATGAAGTGGGATACTAGGAGTTTAGACTACAGCTCATGTGGTCCTTACGATGTGGGCAGAGACTGTGATCCTAGATTGCCCTACTGCTATGAATGAGTACTTTGGGGGACATTTAAGGCTGCATAGGGTTGAATAAATGAGGTCATGGAGATTCCACGGATGCAACTGGAAATTCTCCATTGGTTCCCCTATAGAACCCCCTTGTGGTACATTCCCCTTAGCATCCCCTATAGAACCCCTTGTGGGATCCACCCAAAAATGAGACCCGTTGTCAGCCATCCCGTGGTCTATAGCTCAAGGGTTTGTATTAGGGGTTCTATAGGGGATGGTAAGGGGAATGTATGGGGGTTATATAGGGGATAATGGAAAAGAACATGGAAACTACTATATAGAATATTGGGGTTACATGGGGGATAACGGAAAAGGATGGAACTTACTATACTTAAATCATTTCGTTACCTTGGATGTTTCGGCAGGCATGCAGTACGCTGCAGAGTCCCTGTCTGCCAAAGCCTTCCTCGACTCCGTTGATGCATTGGTCTCCACGCCTTTCGGCAGAGGGATGAAGGGGTTCGCCAAAATTAGGGGTACCATTTTGGGGAACCCCAGAATGAGGATTATCATGTTCTGGGGTCGATGTTGGGGTTCCCTATTCAACTATCATGATGGGATACTTTCATAGGAGTGAGGCTAACTTTGTTTTGAGATCTCGATAGATGAGGAAAGCAAGACGGTCTCCTGCGATGAATAGCCGCACGATTGTTGCTGGGCTGTCCACACCAATATAACCCCATTATAACAGTAGTTTCCCCAATATAGTAACTTAATTTAAGTTCCTTAACAGCAACCCAGTTTAGCTAGGTGCAAGGGGCTGGCTTTCTGCGCTCGGGCTGCCTGAAGATGCATCCTTCACAGGTTGCAGCCGCTGACTGCCGCCTTGCCGGATGTTGATAAAGAGGCCAGGCCACAAGTGACAGTGGTGGATGGGAGTCTCATACTGCAAGCCCAATCTCATCTGAAATGGGAGAAGCCTATGAATGCTCTATATATATATATATAAACCATATCATAGTAGTTTCCATTTTCTTTTCCATTCTTCCAATATAGCCCCCAATATACCCCTAATATAAGTGTACTCAAAACGACCAAGGGTGAAGACAGTGTCAGGACTAGGCGTCACATATTGACAAAATCCTCATTAACTAATGGGCAGGGAAGAACTCCATGACAGTGTCGCTCAACCGGCGCAGGCCGTGGAGGGTCTTGTCAACAGTATCTTGGCTGAGAATCCTACTAGGCCTCCCTAACAGCAATGTAGAAGCCTCGAGAATTGGTAAGGTTCTTTGCCATGGATGGAGGATCTTTTTATCTTAGTTGGGGATACTATAGTACCCAGTATAGTCAATGTTGGGTAAGATTATCTCCTCCCCCCCTTTGGGTATAGTACTTTATATACAGGCCATAATTTGCTTGGTTCAACCACCAAAAAGAGCTACTGAAAAACGACCTTTCTGATGCCTACGCCCGCCTCTGAAGACCTGCGGTGAACTTCGCGAGCGAGTAGTGAAAATTCGGGTTGCGCATGCGGCCATGTACCCTCAGCTACTCCGGAAGGCCTACCGCAACTACATCGGAGCTATACTCTAAACTCCTTAAAGAGGGCTTTATAGGATTTATATAGGGTTCCGATTTTAGGGCTGATTAAGGGGGATACGAGGAGTTTAGACTATAGCTCACACATGTTGGATTTACGCCTGAATCGTTTCTTTCAAACCTTTCAAACTGCGTGCCATCTCTACCTGGGGACTCGGATTTTCTGGGGGCTCTCTGTCAACAGCCCTTTCCGAGCAAGAGTTCTCGTGACCCACGGGCTGGCGATCGATCAATCAATCAATCGATCCATCGATCGATCAATCAGTTCATCAATCAATCAATCAATCAACCCATCGATCAACCGATCAACCAGTTCATCAATCAATCAATCGATCGATCAATCAGCTCATCAATCAATCAATCAATCAATCAATCAATCAATGAATCAATCAGCCCTTTCCTTGCCATCAATCCTTGAGACTTTGGGTCCTGGTCCCACATGTTATATCTGCACAAAGTTTATGGTAGTTTCCCAAAATAAGGGAAACCAATATAGACCCTAATATACTTTCTGGGGGCCCCCTACCGAGGCACAAGAGATCTACAGAAGATCTTCGCAGAGATCGAGCTTGCCGTGCAAAGTGTTCAAAGCTTGTTCGAGGCAGCGCTTGTGAGCAGTTTGCTCCGAAAGATTGATTGTGAAGATGCTTTTCGTTCCATTCATCTTCTCTATTGTTTTAGCTAATGAGGTCTTAGTGGTGCAATCTGTTTCAGTTCACTTGCCGCTGTTGTCGCATCAGTGACCAGCTTTGTGTTAGGTCTTTCACTTCAGTCCTTTCTCAGGCATGTGAGCCGAAGCTCCAAACCCAGAAAGCCATCAGTTCTTGAAGAGCACGTCGCGATGTGTTGGTCTTTTGTCGTTGTCATTGTCATCTCCGGACAGCGTAACACTGACGATTACAACTCTTAGCATTATCTACTCATTTCTATTTTGCAACCTACAGGTAAAGTACATTGTGTGAGATGGACATTTCCGCATGCCATCCGGCAGGAAGACAGGTTGTTCAAGTTGTTTGGTCATCTTGTGAGAGCTTGTCATGCTCATGTCTTGAGCCAAAGCCTACTAATGTTTATTGACTCCTTTCATCGCCCACGCATGTTGATGCCCCCCGCTAGCCCCAAAAGGTAGGAGACCATCCTGGGTACTCCATCCCCATGCACTATGTCTGATGACCACTGCTGACAGGTGCTGGGCAAGAAGTACGACGGCTTCCGGGTTGCTGTTAGGTGCTCAGAATTTGCACTGGCCGGACTTGCAACCTGAAGACATCGCGATGTATTTTTCACTTCAGGGTTTGGGGAGCAGTTCTTTGTGAACAAGAACCTGGGTGCAAGTCAAGCATGTGCGTTTTGTGACGGATTGCGTAAGATGGGTCTTTAAGGAAAGGGGCATTCGATTGTAATTGTTTCCCAAACTTTCTCTTCACAGTATGAACGGACATCACGTTGGCACCTTTTCGCATGCTGATGGCCATGTGTGAGCCTCAGCTCGCACAACCTTGGCCAGCTTCTCAAAACAACATGCCGAAGAATGCCAACAAGAACCTGGGTAGGCCCCTGAAATATTTAACATTTTCCCTAATCGCTTTAACAAGGGACCCTGTATACTAAGATTTTTCAAAGTGCTTCAGGGGCCAACCCAGGAACCACAGGCCAAAGTCTCCTCATAGCGCAGGCCGGAGTTCTGCAGCAACTTTGCGCCACAAACACTACTGATGTCTCAAATCCCATGCTTACTGGAGAGCAGCAGTGAGATCAGCCAATACAATAAGTCACTTTTTCCCACTATGTTAGATGGGAGCAACAATGCTCGGAATCATGACGGCAATCGCAGGGTAGTTGATGAATTGGATCTCCTTAGCAGGGTTCCCTTGTAGCACTCCCCAAGCCGTAGGATGGTCCCTCAAAGAGACCCTACATTCGCGAATCGCCCATCTGGGAGTTTCGACAAAAAGTTTGTATCTAAAACATAATAGGAAACCCATGATCCTTGTGTAATCTGTACAGCTCCCCAGGTTCCCCAATGGCATCCCAAGTTGAGAAGTGCTTATGGATGCCCCCTGGGTAACCCGCCTTGAGAAACCCCTAGATAGGGTTTGGGGCTTAGGGTTTAGGGTCAAGGGTTGAGCCATAAACTCCAACCAGGCCCCTTTTCTTACTGGCGCTTAGGGGAGAGTGGGGAAGTGGATCCTTAAACCCACTCCTGAAACCCTAAACCTTATATTCTACGCGGTATAGTCACTCCGCCTTAAGCACAAGTGAGTAGTATTTTTTTGGGGGATACTACTGTACCCAATATAGAGTAAGATTATATCGTCCTTTTGGGGTATAGTATTTTATATAAGGAATATGATCTTACTAGGTTCAACCACCAAAAAAACACTACTCAAGTAAGTTTCAGGCAAATACCTTGGCGAATCACAGCCTCGCCGCGGGCTCTAGAAGCAAGCTCCCAGCTCCGCGCCTCCGCTGAACTTGACGAGTCCCCTTTTTGTGAGTTAGGATTCAGGATTAAGGGCTTTGGGTTCAGGATTAAGGGCTTAGTGTGAAGGGTTTAAGGATTTAGGGTTTAGGGTTTAGGGTGAGGGGTTTAGAGTTAAGGGTTTGGGGCCAAGGGTTTAGGCCTGAAGGATTCAGTAGGGTTGAGGGCTTAGGGGCCCAAATGATTGGAATGACGGAGGAACACATGCCAAATAAAGTGGAGATACAACTCCCCCCATCCCCCTCGTATTAAATATTCCTCGAAGTAGTCCTCTCCCATAATAGCAATATTGGGAGTAATAACAATGTGAATAGTTGTGAATACACAATGATGGAGACTCAGATGGGAAATCAACTTGACATGGAATGTTAATCTGGAGGTATATAGTGGTTCATTTTTTGAAATAAAGGACCGAAAAATCCGAGCCCCGGCCGCTAATTCGAGTCCCCGAAGCAACACCAGTACACAATGGAGGAACATGATTCTCAGGCGTGGGGTGGGGGAGTGATTGCTTTATGCGCTTTCCTCCCTCACTAATAATAGTGTTATGACAGGGCCCAGCAGGAATACATATTGGGGTTTAGGGTTTAGGGTTTAGGGTCTGGGGTAATAGTGGGATAATGGAAAAGAAAATGGAAACTGCTATTACAGTGTTATGACAGGGCCCAGCAGGAATACAAAGGTACCTGAGGACATGTGATGGCTGTTTTCTCCTCGTGGTCAGAACTGGACCGGTCACCTAGCTATTTCAAGTTTCATTGCTAGCTTGTGTTTTGTTCCTTTTGGATATTGCTAGCGTATTCATGACAAGAATCATTATCCTGGGGAGTAGACTTGGACAAGCCGCATCCTGCTTGTTGGCCTTCTCATGGCTGCTCCTGCAAAGATTCTGGGAGCGCATGGAGGGATCAACAATTGGATTCGGCAAATGCACCTGTTCGGCTAGAACTTACAACCACCTGCCGTAAGTGTCCGAAGTAAAGTCTGTGCAAAGATCGTGGTGAAGTGACTTTTCCTTGGAGAGAAACTTTCGAGTAAAGCAGTGTGGGAGTAGCTTCCTGCAGACGCAGCAGCTGAAGCTAGCGACCCCTTCAATAGCAAGCGGTCTACAAGCTTCTCTAGCCTTACCTAGATTTACCCAGTAATCTCTATAAACAGACTTTCGGTATAGCCCTAAATACAGGTCTAAATACAGGTACCCCCAAAAGACCCTCCTAGGTTTTGGGAACCTCCAATGTTTGACTCAGATGCCTCACACGCGTTGCGCTAAAATGACCATGCTTGCTTGAAAGTGGGCCTGCTGGCATGGAGAGTACTATCAAGCTCTTCGGCTCATGACTTACTCGTGTTTCGTCGGGAACGATCTCTAATGAGTGGCGACAACAGGAATGGTAGGGAGTACTTTGAGATGCATTCCTCCGTCCCAGCCAGCCAAGAATGAGTAAGATGAAGCCGAATCTGCAGGCCCAACCAAACGGATGCTGCCAATCTTTCCAAGTTCGTTGATTCTGCGCAGCTTGGCTGCAGGGATCTAATGGGAGCAAGCACAAGGGCTGGCATTTGGCAGGCTGTTGATGACTTACTCATGCTTACTGGTGGGGAATGGGTCATAATTTCGGATTACTAGTGGGATAACTACAATCATTACTAAGGGGAAGTATGTAAGAACTACCACAGGGGGTGGTGGAAGGAAGGCCGGTAGTCGAGGTGTCAAGTCTTGCCATTCGCTCCACATGCATGTCTTGAAGATCAGGTATTTCCAGAGCCTTGTGGCGCTGAAGCTCGGACGATGTTGGCGTAGTTGGGAGTGTTTTTGGGGTCTTTAGGTTCAAGAGAGATTCAGCAGGTTCTGCACTGTATCTTCTCTCGGCCACTGTGATGCGCAAGACTTGCCCTTTGACCCAAAATTGCAGATTTCCTAAAACGATGGTTTCTGTTGGAGACGGGATAGGAAGAGATGCTTTTGGCTTGTGGGTACTCTGATTGGTGTTCAAGCTTCCATCACAGGAACCTCGTCCGTGACTATGCGTCCCTTGGCGCCGAGGAGCAGAAAGCTGTCGCTGAGGCCTACATGGCTTTGCAGAGACTTACTGGGACCCCCATGCGTTTTTTGGATGGTAGGGGTCATACACGGTCGGAGTAATTGAGCATAGGTTGTCTTTAGACCTGAAGGAGGCCTGCTACAGCCAAGCAAGATTCTACATCCGGAGTCAACTCTCAGATGTTGGGGCAGCAGTGGAGCTTGAGAGTCTAGGGACGAGTCAGCCTTAGCTTATCTAGATGTAGAAGCTAGTAGAGGGCGTGCCCCTTTATTTGGGTCCTTACTTCCATAGCATGGGTCCACATAATAGTTTCGAATTTTTGCTCCTTGGGGAATGGCAATTTGGTAGTAGGCAAACACATGCCCCATCACAGAGCCTTCTTGAGTTAGGCGAACTCCGAGAGAGGGGTCTGAGATTGCGAGGCATCGGCTTCCCTGGTGGCTTCAGCGCAGAAGGCCTGCATGAGTCAGGGATGCAGAGTTCAGGGGTCAAAGGTTTTTGTTGGTTTTGGGGATTCGGGTTTGGGAGTTTGAATTTGGGGCAGGGGTTTGAGTTAACGGTTCAGGGTTTGGAGTTTTGGGGTCAGGGTTGAGGTTTTCTGTATACAAACCTGAGCGCTGACAAATACTGTTCTCTGATAGGGCTCACAGTAGAATCTGCAGTTACATGCAGTTGCGCTCTGCCATAGAAGAACTACCATGATGCTCCTGTATCTATCAAATGTGTGACATGTCGCTTCCTATCTCTTTGCTGTTTGTTCAGGTGCCTATTGTACTCGGGTTAAGGTTAAGGGTTGAGGGAGTGCATGCTTTTTTTTGGTTAGGTGCAGGCGTTCAGCAGTGCAGGGTCCTGACGACCAGGGGTTAGTAGAGCGAATAGTTGGAATAGTTTGTGCAAGTTTGGTATGGCTTCTAGTTATTCAGCCGCCCACAAAATATCAAGTTTCCCTGACTCACACAGCCACAGCTGAAGGCCCACCGCTATGCTGGCCAAAGTACCAAAAAGCAACATGGAGTTGCCAAACATGAGGGTCGCTAACATGGTGGATTGCTTAGAGTAGCGCATTCTCCAAGAAAT